AAATAATATCAAAGCATACTAAAAAGTAATTAATGATACCAGGACTGGTGCAAGGGTCTTGTGACTCTCCCCAACCCAATCTATGATACCCTCTTGAATCTATGATACAATACCCCCACCAACACCACGGGACTCTACTACATCTCAGTTTTCATAAGGTATTATTCATATAAAATACAAATTTTACTGTAACCTAATTATGTACAATAATGCATCATATGCAATGCAGATGAACAATTCAACTAGGAAAATTGAAAATAAATCCAATGTATCTAAATACAAATTAGAGACATGACATGATAGATCATTCCATCTTAAATAAATCAACAATTTTTTTGTGGCGGTTTTTAACATCAACTTGAGATTTTTCTTGCTAAAAAGCCGAATAATTTGATACATTCAAAATTGAGGATAAAAAATTAGATAATTTTATATAGTAACTAGCAGCAAGGCCTGGCGTTGCCCGTGCTTGATTCAAAAATCGTACGACTCATACAGCAATCGCTATCATTTGACTTAAAATATGTTTGCCCTTCCTTGCCTTTAAAGGAGTGCCCTTTGCCGTGCTGATGTTGCTACATGCCTTACTTCTTGCCTATCTCACATTGCGAATTTTTTCTAAGTTCTACCCTAAACATTAAATCTGTTACGAAAAAAGAACTAAACAAAATGAACACAAAACGATCAGCTTTAAAAAAGGACTCGTAACTGGAAAAACTGAATGAAAAAAGAATGTTAACAACAAATACTTTTTCACACCGAACCCAGTTCTGCGGAATCAGAATCAACGTTGAGTTTAAGCAAGCGAATGAGCCAATTGGAGTAAAGTGCCATGCAGATTTAAATTTTTCCCACTTGTGACGAATGCAGCTATCTAGATTTTTTTGCATGCTAGTTAACTTTCGTGTCAGTCAGCTGTTGGCTCTCATGCTAGCCAATAGAATCTTCCTGTTTATTTGTGGCAGCCAGCTATTGGCTCTCCCTCTGTCCAGTAAAAAATGGCCGCAAACTACATGAAAACTTCCGTAGAAGCATGAAAAGATCGATTATTTCCACTTTCGATGGGAGTTGGGAAATGCAAAGTCGGTCTTGGCCTTCCCGCTAACGTTTTCTCAGTTTTTTCTTGCTTTCTCTCAAGTTTCTTCATGTTTGGGTCCAGTTTGTTAAAGTAGTCTCCCCCATCCAGGGTAAGACGATAAACTACGTCAAACAGCAAGGCTTTGAGGAGATGTGGAACCACCTCTTAACTGCTGGTGTTCCCAGGTCTAATCTGACCAGGGGTGGTAGCACCTGTTAGGGTCCCAGCTATAGGCAAATAGTTAACCCCGAAAGTTAGGTAAAAAGCATTATGAAACTGTAAAACTAGGTATTAATACCAGAAATACTTTGTAAAAAATAAGTTACCAGAAATAAATTTTTGAAGAATAAAAACAATTACCAGCAATAGGTTTTAGGAAAAAATATTACCAGCAATATATTTTTTAAAATAATATTACCAGGTATACATTTCCGAGGAAAAAATATTACCAGAAATAGATTTTTGACAAAACAAAAATATTACCAGGAAAAGAATTTGTCGGCATTAAATGACCCATTGAGGTTGATATGTCGTAAACCAAACCAAACCAAACCAAACGAAAAGTAGGTTCCCAGTCGATAGCTTTCTGCCGAGGGCTTTCGGTTGTCCTTAAGCGTCATCATGGCTTTTGTTTTTATTTGGAGATTTATTATTGGTTGTTTGTAATCCTGCTTTGACAACCTGGATCCAAACATTAAGAAAGTTGCGAAGAAGCAAGAAAAACTGGGAAAAAGATCATCAAGCGGAAGAGCTTCGTCGTCTTGAATAAAACATGCCTTATATATATATATATATATATATATATATATATATATATATATATATATAGAAAAATCAAAAAAGAAAAGAAACGGGGGATTCTTAATAAAAGAACATATGAATAAACATTTGCAAACTGTTTATTAGGCAACTTATAGTAGTTTTGTTAATCCTTTGGTTTTCGGTAAAAAGATTTTCTTTTTTACTACCCCCCGATCAAATAAAATTCTTTCTTCTTTTTATATTCCCAGTGTCATTAAATCGAGATGTTTGATGCTATTTGCTAACCTTAGCATAGTATACTGAAGTCGCACGATTTAGGGTGAAACCATCTAGTAAGTTACTTTTATGTTGTTTTTTTTATTTTTCTGGAAAGTACTTGAGGAAATAAGTGATTGTCACTGTTACAGTGCATTTCTTGCCTTATATGGCCGAAATACTCGTTACATTTTCGTTATGATCCCAAATGTTTCAATGAATAGATAACAGTATGACTTTAATTTTGGAGAGTCAAGTAAATTTAGAGTAGATTTACAAAATATTTTAGTGTTTTTTTATCAGTCTCACCCCAAGTAAGGTACTACAGCCACTAGCACGCAAGGGGTAACAGGGTGTAGAGGAATTAGATACAGAAACGTTAGTAATGTGGAGAAAGCGAAAAGAGGAACCAGGAGGACAGTAGATAGCGATTGGCATTGCACTTATATTTTTGCAGATTAAAGAAAGCAAGGAGTCGGAAGGGAGTTCAACAAATAAGAATTGCGAGATAAGAAGTTCCGGTTATATCTAGCTCGCTCAACAGTAACTTGATATGATCTGGGCGCCAGTCTATTATTGCGTTTAAATTCATGCAGCCTAGGTACCTTAGCGAAGAGCTCATCCGAACAATTACCATGAAAGTATTTATGGAAAAGACACAGTTGACGCTGGATAATTGACTGAAGCCTAGGTGCCAGATCAGTACCAATAATATATGTGATTCTTCTTTGGATCTTATTAAGGAGCTCCATTGTTTCTTTCCAGGTAAATTAAGATCAAACTAATCAAAGAAGACTGTTCATCCTGTTTGTCAAAAAAAGTCATCAAGAACAGATATGACGTCATCATTACTGGTTCTCAGATAAGTGTCTTTTCATGTTGGGGAACAGATGATAATCAAATTAGGAGAATAAGAAGGGTGATCAATCAGTTGAAAACCACATACAGGAACGGCAGCCATCGAAAACAATCGCAGAACTTAAGTATTATCTTGTTGAAAAAAGACCCTTTTTCGTCAGTTTCCTTTGTTTGTCGGGGTCGTTATAGCCTTGCGTAACCACATTAGTAAGTTGGCATAGTAATCTACATTTATCGCATGGACCTTTTGAAGATAGTTTATACTGTCTTTTAAATCCCAAAAAACTGAAGCTATCACATACCTTGTAGATGAAACGATATTGGCATTCTTTAGAACAGGTGAGAAAGGTTGCTTCCACTTGTTGAATTGTCTCTTTGTCTCTAGCTCAATGTAGTTATTAACAAGAGTCGTTTAAATGAATTCATGCAATATTTTAGATCTCTTTCATCGCTCCTTCATAGTCCCTCTAAGATGTTTTCAGTCCACCCGCACACCTGGAAAGAAACAATGCACTCATTAATAAAAAGAGTTGAAATTAATTCATGCAACATTTCACACCTCTATCATTATTCCTACATAGGTAGCCTATGATCTTTTCTCCCACCATCGTACCTGGAAAGAAACAATGCACTCATTACTAAAAAGAGTTGAGATTAATTCATGTAAGATTTAACATATCTATCATTATTCCTTCATAGGCAGCCGATGATCTTTTCAGTCCACCCTCGTACCTGGAAAGAAACAATGCAGTTTTTAATAAAAGTAGTTGAAATTAATTCATTCAATATTTCACATCTCTATCATTATTCCTTCATAGGCAGCCTATGATCTTTTCAGCCCACCCTCCTTCTGGAAAGAAACAATGCACTCATTAATAAAAAGAGTTGAGATTAATTCATGCAATATTTCACATCTCTATCATTATTTCTTAATAGCCAGCCTATGATCTTTGCAGCTCAGCCTCGTACCCGGAAAGAAACAATGCAGTCATTAATAAAAAGAGTTAAGATTAATTCATGCAATATTTCACATTTCTATCATTATTCCTTAATAGCCAGCCTATGATCTTTTCAGCCCACAATCGTACCTGAAAAGAAACAATGCAGTCATTAATAAAAAGAGTTGAAATTAATTTATGCAACATTTCACATCTCTATCATTATTCCTTCATAGGCAGCCTCTGATCTTTGCAGCTCAGCCTCGTACCCCGAAAGAAACAATGCACTCATTAATAAAATAGAGTTGAAATTAATTCATGCAATATTGCACATGTCTATCATTATTCCTTCATAGGCAGCCTCTGATCTTTTCAGTCCACCCTCGTACCTGGAAAGAAACAATGCAGTCATTAATAAAAAGAGTTGAAATTAATTCATGCAACATTTCACATCTCTATCATTATTCCTTTATAGGCAGCCTATGAATTTCTTCAGCTCACACTCGTAGTGTGAATAGGAGATAAAATATGACATTTTAGTGTAAGGAATATAACCGAATGTTTGTGTCAGAGATCATGACCATCTACGACAATTAAATGATCAGCACCCTTGCGTTACACAGATGTTATACCTTGTACCATATTTAATTTTACTTTTCTTAGTAAATATTAAAACTATCTTCGTTGTTAATAGAAATTGGAAACATATAAAGACGACAAAAACAGTATCAGGCTTTTTCTTCATTCTTATCATTTATACTTGTTGCTATTTCACACAGTCCTTGTACAAATGTACAGAGCTTGTGTCATAAGCAAGCTCTCGTATAGAAGTGAGGCCGGGACCCCTTATACAGCTCGAGAGCGGAGGCTGAAAAGCTTTCCCTAAAGCTGCCTTTGAAGCATTCAAGGCATCGCCCGGAGGGGACAATATCACACACATCTCATTCTTTGAATGATTACAGTTTCACAACATGTACTCTTCTCTGAGGCCACAGCGTCTCCACTGGTAAATTCATATCCAGGGAATGGACGTCAGAAGAGTTCTGAAGAACATTCTATATGCAGAACTTTCAAACGAAAGAAAAAATATGGGCACCTAAAACTTCGATATGTTCGTTTGTAGAGGCGACCTTATACCAACCGTGACACCTGGGAAACAACGTCCTGCATTGTCTTTAGTGACAATAGTGAATCCGCAGTAAGCTTTGACTGCCTTTTTTTCATTACAGTGGACAAGATAACCAGAGGAAAGTATATAGAGCGAAAATACATTATATAATCAAAATCTCTAAGATATGCCTGTACATGCAACATCAGTGGCCCAGTCTGCTTCCCATAAATTGAAGTTTGCAGCTACAGGAGACGCTGCATTGGAGTCTGGTTCAATGGTCTTCTGAGACAGCAGTGCCGTCACCGAAGAGCATCGCGTGGCTTTCATTGAAGATTACGCGAAAAAGAATCTTTTAATACATAATTCCTCTGGTGACTTTCCTCATTTTAATAATGCTGTCGTCTGGATAGTTTAACTTCTTTGGATTTCCAATTCTTTTAACATTTTGGCAACACCATTCGAGACTGTTCCAAACATTCTAATAATAGAACTGCTAAATGTCCGTTGGCTAAATATCCTTCGCTGTAATATTTTCCGAGGAAAGTGTCCGGGAGTCATAATATCAACTTTTGTCATATTTCAGAACTTTTATATTTTTCTTACACGGGCATGATATATATATATATATATATATATATATATATATATATATATATTATTTCATTTTAACTCTGCGGGCTGCTCGACAGTGATATCGATTATCTGCCAGTTCTCTTTCTTCTTTAGTTGTTCACACAACTAAAAACTTGGAATTTCGTACAGGAAATTAAGTGACAACAAATTTCCAGCACTTTCCTCGGCATCTTTCTCCTTTCTTTCTTTCTTTCTTTCTTTCTTTCTTTCTTTCTTTCTTTCCCCTCTTCCTATTCTTCTTCTCATAATATCTATTTGTAACAGTAGTATTAGGTGAAGCATTGGTTACCACATGTAATTTGTTAACACTCAAAAACTTTTTCCTTCTTTTTCTTTTTCTTCTTTTTCTTTTTCTCCTTCTTTTCTTCTTCTACTTTTTCTTCTTTTTTTTCTTCCTTATTTCTTTTCTAATTTTCTTCTTTTATTTATTTCTTTTCCTCTCCTATTAGGTGATAATATCTATTTGTAACAGTATTATTAGGTGAAGCATTGGTAACCACATGTAATTTGCAAACACTCAAAGTTTTTTCTTCTTCTTTTTCTTCTTTTTCTTTTTCTCCTTCTTTTGTTCTTCTTTCACTTTTTATTCTTTTTCTTTCTCTTCATTTATTTTTAATTTTCTTCTTTTTCTTTCTTTCTTTTTCTTTCTTTCTTTCTTTCTTTCTTTCTTTCTTTCTTTCTTTCTTTCTTTCTTTCTTCCCCTCCTCACCATCTTCTTCTTCTTCTTCTTCTTCTTCTTCTTCTTCTTCAACTTCTTCTTCTCATAATATCAGTTTGTAACAGCATTATTAGCTGAAGCATTGGTTACCACATGTAATTTTTAAACCCTCAAAAACTTGTTTTCTTCTTTTTCTTCTTTTTTTCTTCTTCTTTTTCTTCTTCTCAAAGATCATTTTATATCTAAAGCATTTGTTACTTCATAAGAAAATAAGTTAAAGGTCATATTTCGATTGTGCAACGGCATGATTGCCAAGCAGGCTTTACAGACCTTCTTGCTGAAAAATGTAAAAAAAAAATTATATTCTTGCTATCATCATGATTGTCGTTGGTATTGTTATTGTTCATTGATATGGACAGAAATCATCAATTCCAGAGTTATGTCCCTTGTGTGGCCTCCTCTCCTGGAGGTAAGAAAGTGGATGTAAGTCTTAGCGAAAATCTATTAAACAATGTCTTTGTGAGAGAAACGTGATCACTAATAAGAAGTGTTCAGTATTTAATAAGATTAGGATCTTCTTCAGTGTTAAATCGGCCGGGGACTCTCTTGTCCAGAGAAAACAATAATATTCGGAAAAGCGCATTGAAACACCGACAAGGTGGAGAAAGAAAACAGACGGATATGAAAGACAAAGAAAAAAAGAGACATGATAAAAAGACAAGTGTTAATAATAGGAAAAGGTAGTAACAATAGCAATATTTTACTATACAATATGCCAAGTATTTTTGTTCGTTATGTCCGTAATTGTTTCTGTACAAGAGTTATCTCCCTTAGCAATTATGATACCATGAGTCAGAGTTATCATCCTTGCGTTGGCCACGCTAGTTATAAGTTCTTTTGGTATGACAATGGTAAACTGCTCCAGCATATTTTCTAAACCATAAGAGGGTAAGACTGACTTCAGGAACGAGTAGATTACAATGACTGAGTGCCTATATATATATATATATATATATATATATATATATATATATATATATATAAAAAAAAAGGCTTAAACACTAATATTCCATGGTCATAATTTCTTCCACTGGAATCGTAAACGTCAAACAACTAAGTGACAAAATTTATATTTGTAATAATTAATCGTATATATATATATATATATATATATATATATATATATATATATATATATATATAAAAAAAAAAGGCTCAAATACTAATATTCCTTGGTCATAATTTATTCTACTGGAATCGTAAATACGATCCAATTCATCGGACCTACAATTCAAAAAGAAAACCAAAAAAAAAACAACTAAAAATAAAAATAGAATTTAGCGAGAGTGTAAGTATGAGAGTGTGAGACGAATGTTAGAGCTAAAGAGAGTGGTAACAGACGAGAGAAGGTGGGAGATTAAACCTTAACAGAGAGAAGCTATATAGAGGTAAGTGGAAAAGGTTTAAGTGAGAGAAATATGAATGTTGTCGGATGTCTAATACATTAAAGATACATTTTGTGGTGACATACACACACCATAGACAATCTAATGTTAAAGATCAGAAGAAGAGAGGGAGAGGAAAAGAAAAAAAAAAAATTGGGGGGAGAGAGATGGGGCGGGGTGAACTAAAACTGAAGGGCATTTACTGAAAGGGCCGCTGTGTAATTAAGAAAATTTGACAAATTTAATATCGACTACAGGTTACAAATCAAATATGAACATATAAAAAATAAATATAACGATTATCTAATCTAGCAAGGACCTATATTTTTATGTTCAAAAACACATGCGAATACACACATACATAATAACATATACACGTACATACATACATATAGGCGTGTACCCACATACACACATACATATACCCATGTACACACGTACACATATATCCACATATACACATACATATATATATATATATACATACACACACACACACATATATATATTTATATATACCCACACACACACACACACATATATATATATATATATATTTATATATATTTATACACATACAAACACACACATACACATATACATATGATACATAAATACACACACATACATACATACATACATATACACATACATCCATACGCATCCACTCCTATATATATACACATTTACACACATATCTATACATACGGGCATACACATACGTGCACATAAACATATATACCTAAAACCTTGCATCTCCATACAATTACATACACCCATCTAAACAAATAAAGAATGTATCCCTATATCTATCCGTTTAACTATACATACATACTTATATACGTACATATACACCCATATACAGATATATGTGAGTACATACATACCAAAACATACACACACACACATAAACACATCTACAATATACATCTATCTACATATACATACATCATATACACATACATAAATATACATATACATATATACATACGCATACATATACCTGTATACACACCTACATATATACATATATACACACATACACACACAGCTACACACACACACACACACACACACACACACACACACACACACACACACACACACATATATATATATATATAAATTAAAATGTAAAATCTAAAAAAGTAAAATTTCCAAAAAAAATTAAATACATAGCCCATGACATAAACATACACAATGATATATATAGAGATAAACATAATAAACATAATAGTCATTCCAGTCATTAAAATGTCATGCCCGATGTTATTGAACCAAGATGGGACTGACACAAGTGACAACATGTTACAAAACGGTGTTTATGTTTTAAATCGTTTCTTATGTCTGCATTTAGAAAATATCTCATTACGAAGATTTAGCAGTTCATCTTGATTCTTATCTTTGATAATAAATTTTTTTTCCGCCATGCACAGATCACACCGATCGCAGAAGTCATTAGGTGATTAGTTATTATTAGCTATATATATATATATATATATATATATATATATATATATATATATATATATATGTGTGTGTGTGTGTGTGTGTGTGTGTGTGTGTGTGAAAAGTGTGTGTATATAAATATAAATGTAAATATATATATATATAATATATTATATATATTATTACTTATATATTATATGCGCGATACTTATTAGAATGCGTTCAATATCAGAGATAGAGCTAACATATTTAGTTGGATTGATGTGAGTTTGTGACCCTGGGTTTCACGCTTTTGCGATCGTCAGACAAATACAAAAGATATGCTGGAGCAGTTTGCCTGACGATCGCAAAGCGTGAAACCCAGGGTCACAAACTCACATCAATCAACAAATATATATAATATATATATATATATATATATATATATATATATATATATTCGTGAATATACATCTAACATCTAACATCGGTAGCACGACTCGGAGTTTCATGCAGTTTATTTATAAGATAGGTGCAAGTATATGTGCATATATGAATATACCCATATATATATATATATATATATATATATATATATATATATAAATATAAAATTACCTATATCGGTCATACTACCACCTCCTTGAGTAGGCGCCTCACGTGTCAGTTGTCAGGTCAAAGTGCTATAAAAACATTTATCTAGCCGCTATTTACAAGAACCCTTAAGAAACATTCTCATCGAAAACACTAAATTTCTACATATATCACATTACCGGAAACATCTCGGTATTAGAGAGGCCCTGTTTATTAAACATCTCTTTCCCAGTATCAACGTCACCTTATTTAACACTGTGAATAGAGCGTTAAATTTTATTTTTTTTTTTTTTTTTTTTTAAATAGAAAGACGGTAACTGGAATTCCAGCCGCGCTCAATGCGCAAAGGCTCGGAATAAACGCTCTTATTTTATTCAAAACAACACATAAATAAAATACATCTTAAGCCGTCAAAACATGAAAAGAAATTAACAATATTTAAAAATAACCGTTGAAAATGGCTATAGAAATGGCTGAAAGTGCTTAGGATAATATACAATATATAAAATCTTTGTACTACCTTACTACCACCAAACAGAAAAATACAATAACGCTGTAAAAAGTACATGATACATTAATATTTTCCTTGTCTGTCATATTTAACGAAAGATGTTTAAAAGAAAGGTTCCTGCCCAAATATACATTAATATATATTGTCATCCACAGGCAGACTGTTTCGCTGTATCACAGCTCATCAGTGTGGATACACGTCCGGTTGCCTCTAGCTAGGATCAAAACCCGATTGAATTGGCGTCAGTCGGGATTCTACCTTTAAGCCGTTGGCGCACGGCAGGGATGAAGGTGAATTTAAGCGTACTTATTTTTAGATAAACACACAGTGACTGTGAGAACTCGATTCGATTTGCGGAAGAGTCTTGCATTATTAACCGTAATAGTCACTGTTTACAAACCCACACTTCCTTCCCAGAGAGCTCAACCGAAATAAAGTTTTCACCCGAGGTATTTCAAAGATTCCACTTGTAACTTTCGAACAGAGGTGGGGGGTGGTCTCGGTTGTACACCTCTAATATGCTTCGGTGTCGGGCAAGGTTGATGAATAACTTCAGTTTTCTTGATGGTAAGTTCGAATGCCTTGCATGCCGTGGAAAATCGGTTGAGTAAATCTTGAACTTTCTCGAAAGAGTTAACAACAAGGACAGCGTCGTCTACAAAAAGTAGATTGCGTATAATACTGGAACGTGGAAGTGTTTTGGACTTAAAGCGCTGATGGTTAAACAGTCCTCCATTAGTTCGCTGCGTCACAGGTTATGGGACGAAAGGTGAATAAGACCTTGCACTAAAATCTAAGTGTACGAACCTGTCGTTTTGTCAACTGTTTTGTATGCCTCAGAAACGGGATACAAAAACTAGCGTTAAATTTCATTTTCGAACAAATGGAGCACTAGGGAAGAAAGTTACACTGTCGGGAAGAGCAAGATAAGAAGCTTTTGGCGCAGAAGAGGTAGTTACATTGAACTCTTTCGACTGTAGCTCCGAGATGTCAACTTAGTAGCATGCTTAAATTCATGCCGTTCCAAGAAAATTAAATGTCGGTATTAAATGACACATGAAGAAGTTGATATGTCGTTAAACAAACAAATCAATTATTAAACAACATAGTGGCTGATGGACTGTTTACATCAGCGGAAAACATTGAAGGAGTATGATGGTCACCTGTTGAGAATTTTTTTAAGTTTGAGGGATGAGGCAGCCGAGACAACATAGGAGTCACACCTAGATGCTTAGAAATACACTCAATCGGAGACCGTCTAGGAGGACTGGGTTACAATTCATGAAGATATTTATAACTGGGCCTCACATGCAAAATTATGCGCTGCCTTTTGTCAAAGCCTTTCAACATATCGCGCACATTTGTTTGGGTTACCTGGTATACATTGTTTGGGTTACCAGGTATACGTTTAGTAAAATGGGTGTTATTATGATTTTATTTGGCTTTGTACTTCGGTTCAATTCCAAAGAATCTAAAAAAAAAATTGACACCATCGGAAACGGTGAAAAAATCAGTCTCATGACGAGATATAGATGTAGGGTTGCGCATCTTATCGCCTGACTAGTTGCCACTACATATCTAGGTTGAAAGTCGGAAAGATATTCATTCATGTGTAGCGTGTCTTTGGTAAGTAGACCTAGCGGAGTCTATCCCTCTTCAGGTCTGACCACAGGTGATCTTCTCCGACTTGAAGGTTCACCTTGATAATGGTTACACTGTCGATTCTATTTGGTAAAATCCCTTCCGCCCTGACTGTCGAATTCAGTCTATAAAAGACCTCCCTCCTCCTCGCGATTCCAGTAGTGCAGCAGATTACTGAAATAATTTTTTCACTTGGTGGTACAAACAAGTAGGACGCTATAAGCCGACACTGAACTCCATGCTGAGTCTCACAGCAGTGACGTCACCAGTGTGCTCTGGTTGTGCTTAAACATCACTCTTATTCTCATAATGTAATAGAGCTTGACCGCATCACCTCAATAAATGATCACAGATGTTGTCCAGCAATATCTGGGATAATTTTGGAAGACAGCTACAAAAGTACTGATTTTAAGTCATGCAATAGCCACCATCTTGAAAACTGGTAACCATTTTCGAATATTAGTGCCAAAATATATTTCTCTAGTCAAAATACAATCTGTTTAACATTTGGATCAATAGCATGATCCTATTTATAGATGTTTAGCACTGAAAACACTTTTTTCTATTTTATGAGACGGCCATCTTGAAAAATGACGGCCATGTTGTCTTTTAATATGGCTAACGTATTTTTGCTGAGAGAATGGGTCCTGGGGCACATGTATACCAAATTTGAAGCTTGTACCCTCAAGTGAAAGATTCTTGTGGGATACTGAATTAATCTGCCCCAGTAGTAGTTTGCTAGATTCAGCCGGCTAAGCTGTAGTTACCGTCTGTCAGTTAAATTTACCCAATCCTCGGAACAGCTACACAGGATTCCGTGTCAAAGGCCCACATGATTTCGTGTCAGAGGCAAGTATTTTTTGCTGTTGTTAAACGACAAATGACATTTACTTACATTTATTTACTAATAGAAAACATAGTTTCAATATTAACTGGACTAAATAACATAGACCTCATCACTTGAGGACAACCAAATAGCAACAGTAGCTAAAATAGTGCACGTAGCTTAAAGAGAAAATAATGACATAATCAAGATGTTGACGTTCTACACTACTTCAAACAAAAGGTTAGAAAGGAAATCTCCTCATAAATACTGGAAAGAGCTATAGACCTTATTGGACTTGAGAAACTTATTTTCGTGAAAAAAATGTTTTAAGAGAAAGATTTTAGAAATTAAAAAAAAACAAAAAACAAAAACAAAAACAAAAAACAGTACCGGCTGCTCAGTCAATGAATGCCTAAATATTTCCTTGTAGGGAAACGATTAATATTAACATTACCATTCTCACACAATAAATAAATAAACATCTTAGGCACAGCAAATGTCCTGCGGAAGTTGGCTGTTTTTAGGCTTGATAGAGACTCACTCATTTCCGCTGGTGGACACCATCGGCGGACAAATTTCGATAACATTCTCTCTCCTCACACACTCACTTTGATCTTCTCTGCCCTCTCACCCTCTCTGTTTTCTTTTACGCTTCTCACTCTCTTTGCTCCTCTCTTCTCTCTCTCTCTGTCCTTCTCAACTTCTTTGCTCTTTACTTTTCTCACTAGCTCTGCTTTTCTCGGTCTCTCTACTCCTCTCACTCACACTCTCTGCTCTACTCACCCTCTATGTTCTTCTCTGCTCTTCTCACTCAATTTCCTCTCCTCCCTCACTCTGCTCTCCTCGCCTACTCTGCTCTTCTCACTCACTATGCTTCTCTCACCCTCTCTTCCATTCTCACTCTCAGTGCTCTCTCTACTCACCCAGCTTTTCTCTGCTCTACTCACCCTCTTTTCTCTTTTCACCCTCTCTGTTCTTTTCACCCTCTCTGCCCTTCTCACCCTTTCTGCCCTTCTTACTCTCTCTGCTCTTTCCGCACTATATGCTCTTCTCACCCTCTCTGTTCTTCTAACATGGCTATTCTCACGTCCTCTCTTTCTTTCTACCCTGAAAATCTGATAGGGCTTGTTATTATTTGATCCTCAGCAAAGTTTACTTCGAATTCTTGATGTAAAGACACGTTATAAATCGATGGATTTACATTAATATAAGCACTATTATTTACATTATTTACATGTGGACTATTGTCCTCATCTTTGTTGCTGTTATCACAACTTTTCGGCCTTTGTTCCTCCGCTCTACATCAGAGGAGGGCAATAGCCCGCATGTAAATTGTATAAATGATGATAACTCCTCCTCGCAGAAATTCACACAAAACAGCCTCAATTAGTAAAATGGAAATTCATTCCTCCATTAATTTGATTACAGCACCAACAATAAATCTGAAAATATGCTAGGACTTGTTGCCACTTGACACTTTTCAATGACTACTCTGAGACTATTAATGTAAAGACATAATTCAATCGTTCAACATTAATATAAGAAAGAGACAAGGGATGAAAGTTCATTAGACCAAATTCAGATCATGAGCCTTGCAGGAACCCCATCCTGATTGATTGCTGGATGGTGAGGCTATTTAACCCATAGTTAGGGAGCTTGAATTCCGAGTTGTCTTTCTGTCTGATTGCCACTCAAGGCTATAGAAGTCAGTCAGCCCTGTTTTTTACCCATAGATGAGTGAGACGAGATAGATTCCGCGGCCAGACATTTGGCCGACAGGCATTTGGCTGACAGACATTTGGCCGACGGACATTTGACCGAGAAAAAGTACAAGTAAAAATAGTAACAAGCAATACTTTAAGTATTTTAATTAGCAGTATTTTAAGGTAGAATAGAACTAATAATTACCTCTGAATTTCAAGTGATTAAATTATTAAATCGAAATTTAAAGTTAAAAGTTTTCTTATTTCAATATTTCTTTATTGAAATTAGTATTTTTAAAATATTTGAGTGTATTTTGGATAAAAAGTAGCACTTAATTATTTAAATTCGTATTTAACAGTAAAATAAAAGCTAGTTCATCCCTTTAAGACAATGATCATTTAAAGCGAAATAGAAAGATCTTTCATATCGTAAAAGCTTAAGATTTTTGCTGTAGTAAAATGTGCTTTTTTCTAAAAATACTTATCATCTTACAGTAATATTTGAAGTAAAATATAATATATACAGAATAGATTTTTAAAAAAGCCGGCCAAAAAAAAAAAAAACAAAAAAAAATGTTATAAATTAATACAGTAAATAAATATATGTAGCACATTACGATAAAGAGTTTGGCATGCATGTAAGTACGCCACTACATTTTCGGCTAAATGTCCATTCGGTTAAATGCTCGTCGGCCAAATGCCCACGTACCGATAGATTCATACCTTTCCCAAAGGTATTTAGTTGTAGTTAATATAACGAACTAGACTGGAATTCGATCTCATTTCTCCACTTCCTCAGTCTGGGTCACTATTCATTAATCCATGTTATGAATAATCAAGAGTGGTCTCCCCTTGTTTTTTTACTCTTCTCTTTGAGAGAGGTATTACTGTTTACTGCGACTATAAAACGACACTATACGCGAACTTTGTATTCTCAGTTGAATAAAGCTTTCTTAAAGCCTACACCTGCGTACTTTTGTCATTATACTCCACTATGACTTCATCTATAAAAAAAAAAATAACAATTCCTTTTTATACTTCCATGATTAAAACACCAACAATATATCTAAAAATCTGCGAGGATTTGTTGTCACTTGACACTCAGAAATGGCCACTTGATATTTTTAATTTATAAATCGAGGGTTTAACATCTATATACAAAAAAAAACTATTATTAAAATAACAATTCTGTTTTTTATACCTCCCGTTATTTGATTACAGACGAAACAAGAAGATTATAAATAATCTTCCCAAACATTTTTACTCGTATTTCTTCGACAATGTTCACATACCATTTGTATTTTGTTTTAGACATTGATATTTAGTTTTACAAGTGTAGTTTATACATTTATCCAGGCTTCTAAAATTTTATCGCCCCATAAACCTCCCTCCATTAACCCTCCTCCCCTTTCATTAAAATAAATAAGAATAGAAAAAAATGAAATAAAAATCTAGAAATTGTGGAGAAAATCGAAATCATTATAAGCGCTTCTCTCTTGTCGATTCCAGTCAGAAAAATTATAAAACTGAATGACCACAGAAATTTATGGCTGTCGATTGTCAGCCCGCCTCTCAATTGTTTGTTGCGAATCTTGTATCTGGAATTGGCATTTGTTGAGGCCCTGTGGATTGTCCGACTGGCTACCCAGGAGAAATGTCCCTCACACATAATTCAGCACATTTTAAACGGCTATATATATATATATATATATATATATATATATATATATATATATATATATATATATATATATATATTGGTTTTTATTACATATTTCTCTTAGTTTTGCAATGACAACGTTCGAGTTATTTTCGACATTTCTTTTTTTTTTTATTATATTCTTGTAAATTTTTGACATATTTTTCATTGTTTCCCTCGGAGGTTTTCTTTTCGGTTTTCTCCATTTTTTTCATTTAGAATTTTTTAATTTTCTTTTTCTTTCGATCTTTCTTTATTTCGATCTTTCTATCATTCAAACTTAATTTTGCTTATTTTTTTCTGTCGATATTTCTTTCTTTCTTACTTTGAAACTACCTTCCTTTTGATTTTTCTTTCTTTTGCTCCTTCTTTCTATCTTTCTTTCTTTCGATCTTTCTTTCTTTCGATTTTACTTTTCCTCCTTTTTCTTTCTTTCTTTCTTTCTTTCTTTCTTTCTTTCTTTCTTTCTTTCTTTCTTTCTTTCTTTCTGTCAATCTTTCCTTCTTTCTTTCTTTCTTTTTTTCCATCTTTCTTTCGATCTTTCTTTCGATCTTTCTTCCTTAATTGAAACTATCTTTCTTTCTTTCTTTTTTCGATCTTTCTTTCTTTCTTTCTTTCTTTCTTTCTTTTTTTTCTTTTTTCGATCTTTCTTTCGATCTTTCTTTCGATCTTTCTTCCTTAATTGAAACTATCTTTCTTTCTTTCTTTTTTCGATCTTTCTTTCTTTCTTTCTTTCTTTTTTCCATCTTTCTTTCGATCTTTCTTTCGATCTTTCTTCCTTAATTGAAACTATCTTTCTTTCTTTCTTTTTAATTTTCCTTTTTCTTACTATTTCTTTTTTAATTTTTTCTTTCTTTTTAATTTTAATTAAATTTTCTTTTTCTCTTTTACTACTAATAGTTTTGCCTCTTTTTTATTTTCTATGCTTAGCTTAATACGAGGGACAAATAAAATTAATATAGAGGAAATAGGGCAGGGCGAGATTGAGTTGCGCCAATTTTTCAAGTGAGATCGAACAGCTTGTCCATAAAATCTGTATTAGCAATCTGGAATTTTATTTGCGCTTGAACGCTGAACTCAGGTTAAAAATTGACTATTTCAGGAACAATGTAGACCCTAGTGGGCCTCGTATAAATAGTTTAGCATGGCTCTGCAAAAGGCCAGAGACTGCAATGGTTCTTCGACTAACTCTTTAACTGTCATTCCATGTTCAAACTTGTTTCCTTTTATTAACTATTATTCAAAAACTGTCAATTTTTTCACTCCTGGGTAGAGGTCGATAAAGATTAAATTGACATTTTCATTTCCGAGTTTCTACGAGCTGAAATATTTTCGGCCTTACAATTTACACATGATAAAAATATGGAGGGTGAATTTGTTTCTTGACTTATTTGAAAATATTCGACCTTAAAGTGAAACGCGTTGGAAAAATGCGCCGAGAAAAAGGCAGATATCTCTGCATATTCAAATGCCTCCGTGTGTATTAAAAAAAAAACAATTCTTCAAATAAAACAGCGCAGATGCATACAATCTAAAAATATTCTCGCTTTTGGCGAAAGAATATTGTCCTGGCAACTGCAAGGTGAATAAGGTAATTGTTTTTTCTTTCTTTTCACGTCAGCGTTACTGATCAGTTTTCGAAACCAGGAAAAAACTCGCATTTTTAAATGTTGATTTTGAAAGAATGAAATTAATCGTTCCCAACTTTGATAATTAGCAAAACTCAATCACTAATTAATTAGCACTAAACTAAACTTAAAGAAACCAACTTCGCCGTTGTTGCTGAAGTAATTTTGGTTTGTTTTACAGCATATCAACCTTAATGGGTTATTTTATGCCGACAAGGTTTTTATTGCTGGTAATATTTTTTGATTCAAAAATTTATTGCTGGTAATATTTTTCCCCAATAATGTATTGCTGGTAATATTTTTTCTTTCAAAATGTATTGCTGGTAATATTTTTTATTTAAAAAATGTATTGCTGGTAATATTTTTTCTTTCAAAAATTTATTGCTGGTAATATTTTTGTTTCAAAAATGGATTGTTGGTAATATTTTTTGTTTAAAAAATGTATTGCCGGTAATATCTTTGTTCTAAAAATGTATTGCTGCTTATATTTTCCACTAACAATGTATTGCTGGTAATATTTTTTGTTTCAAAAATGTATTGCTGGTAATATTTTTTGTTTCAAAAATGTATTGCTGGTAATATTTTTCACAACAATGTGTTGCTGGCAAAAATGTTATAAAGTTTAATGTACCTAATTTTAAGTATAGCTAAAATAACTAATGTGATTTCAGGCTTTACTGTAAATCAGTTGGCAAATGTTTTCCGTGAACTGCAAGATCGTATTACCCTTTGTATTGCACACGAACTTTATGGAGAACCTATATATATATATATATATATATATATATATATATATATATATATATTCACCTAAAAAATCTGCCTAATATTGGATATAAAAATCAAACTTTGAATACATATTCATATAAATGAAGTATTTTTCTTATTAATAATTACATATGTGTATGTTTGTGCATATGTGCAGACTCACATACATACACACACACACACATATATATATATGTATATATATGAAGAAATGTAGTTTTAAGGTGTGCTATATTTATGAGATAAAGTGCTCAATATCAGAGACAGAGCATTGAAGTCAGCATTCAGAGGTGAAAACTGTTTCATGTGAGACGCAATCGT